AAAWKKTTTTYTTTAATATCGGAAAACAWCGTCCGGTGGCCTGCKGAATTGAGARCCTTCCAAAAAGGTGTTTCTTTTCAACATAGGCATTATTACCAGACGGAATTGTTTTCACAGCCATTCACTGTTTTCTTTGATTTCGGGAACACATGTCGAGAAAATTGTTCCTTTTTGAAGCATGAGATATGTTTGTGAAAGTGTTCCGTTGTTTTGATCATGTACACCTTTGTTAATTAACCTCTGTATCATCATCTACTATGGTTTTCGTAGATAATACATGTTGTTCCATTACTTTTTTTTATTCCCATTTCACTGTATTTCTGATTCTGCATGTTGAAAAATTAGCCAAATTTACACTGAATATACTGAAGCACCTCATCAAATAGTCACTTTTGTAATTTGGTACAACTTTGTACAGCTTTATAAACAAGSTTTTCTCAGTCTTCTTTGATTTCAAGGATCACACTTACGTAACTAGATTAAAGAGAGTCTGTCATCATCTGAAAAGACATAGAACCATCTCTGTTTTTGCTCCGMATTTTGAGGYTTTTTAGAATCTTCAGTCACTTTTCMARWATCMRAGACATTCGKCTCCAGATAGCCATAAAAGAGCCGTGCCTATTCCGGTATCGGTGAAGGCCTGCCGCCACTATTGCTCTTACAAGATGTTGGCTTCTCAAATTTCGGGTCGTATATTCCGTAAACAGTGCCCAGAGCATACAGTTCTTGGCTTTTGTAAAGGAATTCTACAAATGAATCTTGATCCACTGAAGTATTTCGACTGTTCCAAACACATCCACTTTCAACAACAGGCGCAGGGATAGCTCTTTTGGTTATTAAACAAGTACATGCGAGTTTATAACTRACCAACTGAAGCTCGCTGACTTTGTCCCTGATTTTAGCAGCCAGGAGAGCRGCAATGGCSCCKGATTCCTTCGCGTTGTAGCTTTTTGTCGCAAGTGCATTTTCGAATATRTCATGTATGATTTTCTTGATCTTTCCTTGGTTTGCAAGCATAGGTTTGAGTACGAATTTGTCAGGATCCGTTGGGTCAGATTGTGTTCGTTCCCTCTTTGGAAAGTCAGCATGCGATAGCACGAAAACACCACGATCTGTTTCTGTAAGCTTCGGTCTTTCAGCCTCAAACAGCGATCTGCTCCGYTGACGAGTTTTTGGTGGRTTCTTAATCTCGATATCCTTTTCTCTTTGCTTGCAAATTACGTTCTGTGCGGATTCCATCGTGTAATTGAGCAGCAAAGCCGTTTAATCTTGACCCAAAGATGTTGTTTTGGATTATTTTCTCGGCTAATCTTTCAATGAGTTGGTGCAGACCTCGTTCTAGTTGTTGTTTTTGCTCCGTTGTTCCTCTGAACAAGCTTCGTAGTCTTGTAAAACTATGACTGGCGTCTTTCAAAACAAGTTACTACGCAGTAATCGGCGATGTTGCTTCTCTAAACTGTCACGTAAGACGTCAAAGATGTGTAAACATCATCGCAGGAGACAAATGATTTKGAATTCCATTTCAGGGTGATGTCGGAGGAGGGTTAGAGGTGGGTTAGAGGTGTGTACGCATGTCAAAGAAKAACAAACAACAACAGCWACAACAACAAMAGAGAAWATAGTTTTCATGTAKWTATATTTACTTTTCGTATYAAAACCAAAAAATTGATTCAAGCCAAAACGAAAATTAATKTYTGCATTATATGGGGGAGGGGTGGGTGGAAATCGACGGTAGTGAATTCGACCAGTCATTCAGGGAGGTGTCAAAAACATTTTCATTGTATGTTTTTTAGGAAGGTATTTATATATATTTAATATATGCAAATCCTGAGACCTATCTGCCAAATACAGATAATATCAGGTCCCTAATAGAAAACTGTTTTGAAAAAAAATTCGACGAGTCCAGACGAAATAGATGGGGGTATTACTTTCTATTGACCTCTCTATTTTTGACTTATGCTGGATTTATTCCAACTAGCTATAGCGTTTAAATAGCAATCTCGCGCTTCTTAGCTTTGACATTAAGGGGATAACAATGAAAGAATCTGAAAGAAGAAGGAATTTATCCTTTTGATTACTATGACAACTTTTTTAGTCTTTTTTCTGATTTTTTCAGAATGACGAAGGAAATTCCTTCCCAGATTACAACCGTACAACCGTGTCAATATAGTTTATTTAAAACAAATAGTGAATACACCTATAATTGAAGAAACTTTGTCGGGCCCAAAAAAGTCAAATCATAGAAGCTAAGACCGAAAGGGTACTTGGGAAGACAAACAATTTGGCTAATTTCATACAAACAGCTCTCCATCATAAAAGACAATCATGCTGTTAATCTTACTAGCTCTACCTGCTTTACGGTACACCGTATGTACAAATGTAATCCCAATTTAGTGGTACTCAAAATCCCTTTCGSTCTTAGCTTSWATGATGTGACCTTTTCGAACACGACTAMGTTTTTTCAATTAGGTGTATATGAAAATGCAAGGTGTTATCTATAGTGMGAAACTGGAAAACCAATAWMSGTTGGGAAGAAGAGAGAAAGSGSTAAAACATTTCGGTTGGTTGTCCGAGTTAATACATTGACTGAGATATTTGTACTTTCAGTTTTCTCTTTGTCTTTATTTTACATCGTATTATTATTATTATTATTATTATTATTATTGTATAAGCGCTTTAAAAATTACATTATTATTATTATTATTATTGATAATTATTGATATTAAATATTTACAGGTTTTATATTGAGTGTTATTACATACACGTTTGAGGACTAAAACTAGAGAATCATTTAGGCAGACCTCTATGTTTGCTCTATAGAGAGTATTGCCTACCTATAGCTACAAACGTTCTGTGTGTACTTGGTCTAGAGTATGGACCGAGCTATAGTGTATAGAAGTCCGGTCCAGTCGGATTTGCAGCTTATATATCTGCATTTCTTTCAGACGTRAAAGAAGAAATTTATCTACTGCAATGACTTTTAATTTTCCAACCGCTGAGAACAGTTATGATAGATGACCGAACAAGTTTTTATTCTAAAAAAATTTTTGAATTTCTTCTTCAGTGCTCAGTAAGATGCTGGATATAACACATATATAACCAGTATTTAACGAGTTTTATGATTCGCAAAAGTGTTCATTTGACGTCAATTGTCAGCGATTGTAGTTATCCATAATATTATTGCATTGAAAGAAGCTTTTGATTTCAAACAATGATCATTAATAATGATTTCAAACAGTCCTTTTTTTAAATGAATACCTAAAAAAAATCAGTATTGTCAGTACTTATTTTAATTATGGAAGATATTTTGTATGGTACTTATCTAATACGCTATATTCCCAGCTGTTTTGTAGGGCAACATTAGTCTTCCATTCCTTCAAGTGCGTATAGCTAGGAAAGTCATTCCTGTAAGATGGGTGTTATGCAACGGCCGTTCCCATTACTCGGCTGCAAATCATAGATATTATAACCAGGCGAAGATATATCTGTCCTTTAACTGTTCGATTTTAAATCTTAAAATTTTGCCCATTAGAATTATGAAACATCACATCTCTTCTTCTTCATCTTCTTCGTAGATAACCATTTCACAATCCGATGAAGACAACGATTTGTTGCTCATACTATCCACCGAGCGACTAAGTCTCGCCTTGAGGATTTTAGCAAATACATTCTTGTCTTCAAGGCTTTGAACAGGATCTTTTATGCTGCCAACAGACTTTGAACGTCTTCGAGAGGGGTTCTTTTCTTGTGATGGCACATCTGTGTGAGTAATTGTAAAACTCCCATAATCGGGCTTCGTTTYACTTTTGGATGATGCAAGAGATTCAAATGAGCTGCTTCGAGGTCTGCCAGCTTCCATCGCCGATGGAAAACCTTTTAAAGCTTTCTTGTTTGGYAGAACTTTGCTTGTTTTGTTAGTATCTGGTTTATCTCTGGTTTTGCTTTCAAGAAAAAAGCGTACTCAGCGCTCGCACGCTGCCAAGGTGAACTTCTTTGTTAAACATCTGAACGCTATATTCATATTCAAGAAGTGGTTGTTTACAACCTTGGATTTGTTGTTATTCTCATGGGACTAAAACATTACGTCAATAAATCTCTTAATACTCAGTCGTTATTGAATTGATGGGGTCTTGTGACTTTCATTAGTAAATTCTCAAGACGCGGCTGCAAGCACGTCTTCGGTGATAGAATAGCTTTCAGTTTCTAATTGAAGTGAATTGAATAAAACAACTTTTTTTAATCGACACATGGCTCTTAGATCAGTTTTTTTTTGTTRCTCAGTGTATTCTGTGACCACATATAGTTTTATCAATAATTAAAGATTATAATGAATTGTCCTCGTGCATCGGAAAACATTGAAACAGTTTGATCTGTTTTACAAATGTTTGATGAAAGTTGCTTTTTGATTGGTTCAAAATCAAAGTTTTCGCACTTAAGGAAACCGCGCAAAGATTCTTGGATGCGATTATAATGAATTCTCGRTTTCAATGATGATTCCACCASTACGTTCATCTTCTTTTCATACTTTTGGGAAAGTTTTCGTATTAACTACTTGCATTTGATGAAAGAAAAAGGTGGGAAAATGAGTCATCGCCCCTCCTAGGAAATATTTTTTTGAGTTTGGACGCTATCGTGGATGTATATAGTCAATTTGATATGAAATGTTTCGAAGTCAATTCAATCGTCTTTTTCAAGTTTCATGCAGTAATACTCCGATTTCGATTTCTTGTTTGCTCTGTGTTAGCCTCAAAGCCAAGCAATATATTCTTTTGTTTCATTGATAGCCCAAGAAAACGCATGGAATTTGAAAAGAAAGACAATAGAATTGATTTGAAATCTCACACTTTTATTCTSACAATTAGGAATATTTGCGCGCAAATGAGGCTAACACAGAGCATTGGAGAATTCGAAACTGGATTATTACGTAATTATGTACATTCCTTCACGGAGTGCTCGATGGATCTTAACAAATGTTACAAATACATCTTCCTCTCGTGGTTTTAGGAGTATATTTAATGTTCAACATAAGAAAATAGTATTTCTATCTATATTCATAGTTAGAATAATACTAATCAACTATGATGTATTATTCTTAATTAGATGGCAGAAACATGGCGATGTTGCCTCTCTACACAGCTAACGGTTACTACTTCATGTAAGAAACCCTGTAAGAACCCATAGGCCGGGAAAGCACTAATACGTATATACATTAGGGTTTGGCTTRAGGTTATAGGATTAGGGTTCTATAAGTGTTCTTACATGAAGTACCATCCCAAYTAACCTGTAACTGAGTTTCAATAATTTTAGCATATGGCAAGTTGATTCGAAACGACACTATAAATAATTCCTGATTACACAGTTTGTCATTATTAATTAATAATTATATCCAGATTAAACACAATATAAATAATACAAATATTTTTATTTACAATCGGAATCGATAAGTGATTTTGGTCWCGCCTTTTTGGCATATACGTCATACATACAGCACTATATACGAACGAATCTCTATGTACATGCATTATATAGGGCTTAAAATTAAATGGAGTTACTGTTATTCTAAGAAGAGTTAATATGAACTCTTGTTTGAGTTAAAACTACTCTTGTACTTTTCTGGAGTTACGCTTTACTGGCTTGGAGGAGTTGAAACGAACTCTTGGTTGAGTTAAAACTACTCTTTGATATAGTATAATTAAGTTACTCCGCTAGGTAGAGTTAACTGAGCTCCAGATTTTAGAGCCATTTTTTRGATATTGAAATGTCAATGACATTTATTTGCAATTTYGATAGATCAATCGTGTCAATTCGGCACAGATATGCCTCTGGACCTTGAGGGGAAACTCGAGCTTCTTCTTGCAGYTKTGTTTTGAGGAAGCCTAGTRCAACACACACCATAAACAGTCCCCACAGCAGAAATAAACTCGTTTTGAAACACGCAGTCAACAAAATCGTCTTTATCGACGGCAGTGATAAGCTCATCCCAAGCGCAACCGCTTTCTAACTTCATCGCGGGCGTGGAACGTTTGGAAATGTAACAAACGCACACGATTTTATAGTTTTTGATCTTCAATGCGTCAATTCTCTCCTTTACAGCACCTGCGATTTGTTTGGAGTAGAACTCGCATTCTTTGCTATCGTAGTACTTTCCAGATAACTTTTGTGTCATTTCCTGGTCAAGGATACCATATATCAACTCTTTATCGAACCCAATCTCCTTGGTGGAGCTGTCGTTTGATGCCGCACGTAATCTCGGTGTCGCTGGGAAATCTGCATGCGAAAGTGTGGATAATCCAGAGTCTACAATACCCCTATTATCAAAGTCAAATAAGGATCTTCTCCTGGCAACAGCTCGATTCGCTATGACCTTGACCTTAGCGACCGTTTCAAAGCTCATAGTTTGCGGATTCTCATTGGTCAAGTTGCCTTCGTCCTTTTCTGGAGATGCTTTGAAGACTGGTTCTCCAAGGTCGGCGTGGTTCATTCTAGTATTTGCTTGCGCTTTGATAGATTAGGCTATCGAAAAGAATATTCAACGTTACAAGCGAAGAAATATGATAGTGAAAATAAATATGATAAACTTAGATGATCTTCGATCGAGGTTCAACTTTTGCCTATAATTATCGTATGCAACCTGCCTAATTCATCCTTGCAACATTGCTACAACTGTCGTAGGTATATTAAGCAATTGTTTTAAATCCCCACGACAGTTAGCTATGTGGTAAGGATGACTTACGCAAGTTAAATGCAATGGTTGTAAGTTGCGTCGTCTAATTCGGTCTTTATACAAAGTTGATGCCAAATTCGTCATACTTTTAAGTCAGATGATGCAAGAAAAGTTTGCGGATAAAAAATAAATAAACATAATACTTGAGAGAGACTGTGCAAAACGCAATTATCTCCTCGTTCAACAAATTCACGTCAATTAAATTTGTTTATTCAAACTACCGAGAATGCAAGTTTGATTATTCTGATTTGTTTGTTTAGTTGTTGATGTACATTTACTTCTCAGTATATGTTATGTCTTTGTTATTATTAAGTTGAAACGTTTCTTGGAAGAAAAGAAGTTGAAGTGTTATTTAGTTCAAAAATCTTGATTTTTTACAACACACGTGTTGCATTGTGATTCTTGTTTGAGCCAAAACATCTTCGACAGGAGACAAAGTCTTGAAAGTAAACGATGTTCCCTTATTATCATTGTTTACTTTGAAAAACAAAATGGCCTCTCATAAAATTCACTGCTATCACCTTTTTTGCTCTGAACTAACAGATRTAGCAAGATATTTCTGTAATAATTTGATAACATGCTAATAAAACCATTGGTTTTCTAGATTCAAAGATGTTTTTTAGTGATAAACAATGATAAACAAATTGTAATTAGCAAGTGAGTATGCTTTCATGATTCTACTGCAAACTACACAGCAAATGACACAGCAACAATTTTTAAGTTGTTTCAAATTTCAAAAAGATCATTCACAAGTACGTACCAAACGTTATCGACTGACAAGAGCCACGGTATGCTCGATTACGAATTTTGGCTGTGTTTGATTACTTTAATTGGCAGCGAAGTCAAGCCGCATGGCAAAAAGCTGTTGAATAACTCTTACAACGATTACTTCTTTTAGTAAAGATATGTGCAAACAATAGGGGATTTATGAAGCTCTTTGCTGTAGTGTTCCGAAGATAATGGCCTATTTTAGGGAACAATGCCTTGATATCTCAAAACAAACTTAAAACCTTCTTTCCTTGCCTTATTACTGCAAAAAATGCCTCTAAAACGTGAAGTAATA